CCCGGGCCCCGCAGCAGCGGGGGGTGCCGGGCTGTCGGGGTCCTCGCTGCGCTCTGCCTGCGCGCCCAGCACGTCGCCCTGTGACATCCCAGGTCGCCCGCTCAAACTCCAGCGGCCGAGAGCCGAGGGCTGGCTGGGCCCAGGCGCCGGCAGGGCTGCCGTTCGGTCCCTTGTCTTGGCACATCCCCAGGCAGTCTCGCTGCGCAGCGTCTGCAGCCCCGGGCGCTCGCAGGCAGCAGCAGACACTGGTCCGTTCTTCTCCGCCTGGTGCTTTCCTCTGGGGCCTGGTTGTTAACCTGCAGTTTTACTTCTCTTTCTGTTCTGTCATTTTTTTCTCTCAAGAAATGGGTTGTGCACCTCGTGGTGTGTCTGGCCACTGAGGGGGGACGTGGTTCCCAGTAAGGCAGAGCTCAGTTACGGCATAACAAATACAGCAGTCTCCGATGGGGGCAGGTAGTAAGTGCTTTAGAGGGAGAGCCCATGGACGGGGCACGCGTAGAACGATCCTCTCCACGTCACCTTCCCTCGTTGGTTTAAAGAGGTCAGAGGAGGCAGCCCTGACTTCTGTCTAATAGCTCCCAACGGACCTGTCCTCCTTCCTTTCCAAGCTGGCTCGTACCTTCTACTGCCACAAGCCGGCTACACGCTGGACATAAACAAAAGCATGTCCTCTGACGAGATGCCTGTGGTGGAGCGCCCAAACCAGCAGCGCTGTCGCTGAGCGACAGCCTCGGGCCCCTCGTTAGGACATTTAAGCGTTGCTGACCCCGTCGGTCACATCGCGTACTGACGGGTGGGCGGTCACTTCCATTTGGTTATCCGTAGCGATGTCTGCCTTAGCGCAGTACTGTCTTACCCACGGCAATCAGACTAATTTGGAGAGGGAAGGAGAGCAGCAGGGAGAGAATTACCACGAGCGCGAAGAGCAAAGGCTTATGAAGCCCCTGCAGCCCCTACCAGGCAAACCTAATTCACCTGGAGAAGAGCAACAACTTGCAGTCACTCAGACTGGACAGGCTTTGCAAGACTCGAGGGTGCTCGCCCATCCCACTAGGCTGGTGGGGCTGTGGAAAGTGCTTTACATACATGTGCCTCTTTCAGTGGCTGCCCCAAATAACAGCAACATGTTAGTGGCCACCTTTATTAGATGGTCTTCTGCCTCCGGACTGCCTTGCAGTGGGCACCTGCCTCTTCTGTGGTGAGTAGTGTCTCTGAGGGGACTGAATCCAGGTCTGCTCCATCCTTGCCAACGCAAGCACCATCTCGTAACCCGGCCGTTCTGTTGGCACTTGCTGCGGTTGTTCGAGATGGGTATGTTTGTAACTTGGATCACTGGGCTGGTGTTAAAGCACCATCCAGACCCAGACTTTCCTGTTTGATTGCAGGACCATCACCCATCCCAGCAGAACCCAAGCGGGCTCCATGGGATTTACTTGCGGGCCTTCTGCACGGGGCTTGACTCTGTGCTGCAGCCCTATCGTCAGGCACTGCTTGACCTGGAACAAGAGGTAAGAGGGAGGTGGCCGAGGTGCTGCTGTGGCCGTGTGTGTGGCTGGGCGCTGGAAGTGCTGCAGCCTGAACTGTGGCGCAGTGGGAACCTGCCTCTCATATGGCGAGTAGCCTGACAAGTAGCTGCCAGGGACAGGACAGGAACTTTCACTTTGGGGATGTCTTCCAAATGGCTACTGCAAGTGCAGTCGATACTGGTCAGTGTATTCTGTGTCACTGACTTCCTGATTCATGGGAGGGCTCCCTCAGTTCCAGGGCAAGGCTCTGTCGCTCCAGCTGTAGTGATCCATGCTTTTAGCTCTGAAGATTTTTGACTAATTCCCCTGTCATGGCCAGGATAGCAGTGGTCATGTAACCTCTCAGGTGGGGTCACTGAGTCAGTGGTCTCACTGTGAGTTGCAGCCTGAAGTGGGACATGGCCCAAAAGTCTGTGGAGTGAGCTGTGAGCAAAGGCTCTTGTCATCAGGCCGTTTGCTCTCGCTTACCTTCATGCAGCCAGGCTCATAGGCTGTGGATTATTTCAGTTTCTGCTAACTGCTGTTGTTGTTGCAGTTCCTGGCTGATCCTCATCTCTCCATCTCGCACGTTAACTATTCCCTGGATCAGGTATGTTGCGTAGGACTTAGAGGCTTCAGGTTTATGCACCTTAATACTCATAGGTACAACATGGGTAATGCTACAGAGCTTGGCATTGCTGCTAGACCCCCATCTTTCCAACCACCTGACATTTGTACTTATCTCCTGAGTTTTAAAGTTGCATCAATGTCACCATTAACCTTTAGTCCTAAGCTTGCAAGAAAAAATAGAGTTTCCTTCCTGCAAGGTTGCAGTAGCTGGTAGCACATATGTCACCAAGGTGGAGGAAGCTACATGGTGTCTGTTTTTAGGCACCTTGATTTCCAAAATCACTAAATCCAGTGTGTCATCATTCACGACCTTTCCTCCATGGAGTCCTGCTAGGAGTCTTATGCTGTATTGCATGGCTGAAGAACTTCTGAGCTGGGGATGCCTGGATAGCCCCCTTAAGGGAGTATAGGTGTGTGCCGGGGCGCAAAGAGCTCTTGCTTCAACTATCCATCTGCCCCTCTGTTTCCTGAAAACTCATTTAGAGTCCAGCTCTGAAACTGGAGTGGTGGGGGGAACTGCTTGATTTTTTTCATATCCTGGAGCCAAAGTCTCAAACTTGTCAATTTGAGAAACTGCAGAATCACACTGATGCACTTCCAGCCTATCAGTACAATGCTGTGTTCCCCACAGCTTGCTTACTGTGCAGTGTCTCCGGACCTGCCTATCTCCTCCTTCATGATGCAGCTTGAGCCCAGTGCTGGGGTAGTGTTGCATTTCCCATATCTTAGGCTGGTTGTCTGTCCATGCAGAGACTGAGGTCTCCTGTTCTAGGGGCACCCAGATCAGGGCGATAGTGCTACCCAGTTGTGGGGCAACTGAAGTGACCAGCTGGAAAATCACTACATTTTGCTGCTTTGCCCCAAGTGCCCTTGCTGTCTCTTGCTTAGGAGCCTGCTCTTATGTGTTGATCCTTGCTTTGCAGTTCCAGCTGCTTTTCCCCTCGGTGATGGTGGTGGTTGAGCAGATCAAGACTCAGAAGGTACAGTGAAGGGTGACTGGGGCATCCACGCTGGGATGTGGCGTTCCCCCTCTTTCCCTTTACTTGGAGTTGCTTGTGGGTGGAGGTGCCACCAGATGATAGACAGGGCTTGTAGGCGGTTGGTGGGTGCACTCATCAGGAAGTAACTGGTTTCTCAGGGTCTGTCTTTCTCTCAGAGGCTACATGAAGCAGGCAGCAGAGAGATTCTGATCATAAGCAAGAGTGAGGCAGTGGGGTGATTTGCATCTTTAAAGTTGAGGGGAAGAGACAGATTTTTGGCAGACAGGCTTGGAGCTGGGGCAGGAGGGGAATGTGCAGCGATTCTCTCCCTTGACCTGGTCACACTGCTGTTTTCAGTATACAGGGATGGAACATGTTGCCACGTTTGCACGTTAGTGGCTGGCTTTGCTCCTCCTTGTGTCTGATCCCAAAGGATTCGCATCCCAGGAAATTGGGGGCATTTGCTAGATTCTGTGAAGCACAGGGAGAAGCTTGTGTGCTGGCTGCTAAGTGGTGTCTGGGAAAGGGGGCTCACGCAGCATTTCCTGGAGCAGTGGTTTTCAAATGGGGGTGTGCATACCCCAGCCGCACGTGGCTAAGTTGTAATAATGGTGGTGGAGCTTCTGATTGGCCAGTGCGTGATGAGTAATGGTATTGCTGGGTGTTGATGCTGGCATCAGTACGCTTCCTGAGGAGTGAATGTGGAGACGCACTGGGGTTGAGGGGAATGAGCAGCGATGTTCTGCAGGTAAAGGGGTGTTTAGCCAAAAAAGTTTGAAATCCACTCCCCTGGAGTTTGCAAGGCCTTTCCCTTCCGTTCCACGGCAGGTCGTCATTGAGACGTCCGGATTGCCAGCACTGCATCAAGACAGCAACTCGCTGCTGATCCACTGTGACTGCTTTGTTTCTTCTACAGATTCATGGCTGTCAGATCCTGGAGACTGTCCACAAGCACAGCTGTGGAGGGCTGCCCCCCGTGCGCAGTGCACTGGAAAAGTAGGGAGACTCTCTAATCCTGCTGCTGAGTTCTTGTGGAACAGCTGGAGTTAGTCATAGAATCTCCTCTCCAGACACCTGTTTGATCCAGGAAATGGGCTTGGGGCTGGGCTTACAGCCCTGGGGGTGCAAATCTTCTGCTTATCCTCAGGATGAGCGCAGCCTGGACAACACCAGTGCGCACCTCTGCCAGACACTGACCTGCCAGCTGTCTCATTGCTGAGCTGCTGGGGCATCTCTTGGGGGAGGGAAGTTCAGTCTCCATGGCTTCTCAGCTGAGGTGGCCAACAAGGAGCCAGCTGAGACTGGCTGGGTGGTGAGGGCTCTGCTAGTTACTGTCCTCGTGATTTCCCCATTACCCCGTGCAGTTCCTGTGCACATCACAGTGGGAGCTGCTTCGTGGTATCACCGGAGCCCTTGGGAGTTTAGCTTGGGTGTTCAGACAGTGGGGCAGTTTGGTTAGTTGCACACTGATTGAGGCATGTCCCCATGGAGAGAGACCTGGGCACTGACTTTCCAGGTGTGGTTTGTGGAGCTGCTGAGGTGTCCAGGTGGGAAGGAACAGCGAGCTGGAGGGTTGCCATGTGGCATCCTGGGCATGTCACTGTGTCACGTGTCTGACTGCCTGTAATGGAGCTAAGCAGGTATCGTGCTTGTGGCAGGCCCAGGCCCATTCATGTCTGCCTGGGAGCACACAGCTTTCTGGCAGAAGAGGACCATCCATGTCTCCCTGGGAGCACACAGCTTTCTGGCAGAAGAGCTCCCATCTGGCCAACTGATCTGATGCATAATATATGTTCAGTTCCAGCTGCTCTGTACACAGATCCCTCTTACTTCCCACTTCTCTTGGTCTCCAGGATCCTGGCTGTGTGTCATGGGGTTATGTATAAGCAGCTGTCTGCCTGGATGCTGCATGGACTGCTGCTGGATCAACATGAAGAGTTTTTCATCAGACAAGGCCCATCTTCAGGGAATGTCCCTGCCCAGCCAGAAGAGGAGGATGATGACCTGGGAATTGGTGGGCTAACAGGGAAACAGCTGCGAGAGCTACAAGACCTGGTGAGGTTCCAGCTGAAGGCATAGCTTCTTTCGGGCATTTGTGGGTCTGGGCAGAAACATGTGGCCAGCGGAAGAGCCACGTGCACAGATGTTCTCATTGCCTTTGTGTCCACAGTGCAAGTGCGCTGTGAATTCACCCCCTGATATTCTGCACTCAACTTCCCTGCGTAGGAAGGTCAGGCCAAGTATAAGTTGCACAAACACATAGGCTAGGAAAGATAAAATAGATTTTTAAGGACAATTAGCAGAAGGCATAAAGACTTTCAGTATATCAAATGCTGGGAGTTGTGAAAGGATTGTTCAGCCTGCTGGATTCCCAGAGAAATAAAGGACACGGCAGAGGGATCAAATGCATCTCTTCCTCGGTTATCTCCACAGGGGATGTTGGAGATGCCTATCCTAAAACAGCTTCTTTTCAGATAAAGAGATGAGGATGCCTTAAAATTGAGGTGTCAGGAGCGGAGATGTAGGATCAGCTGATACAGTAAGAAACAAGGAGTAGAGGGTTCTTCACCTGAGTGCTGAGAGTTTGGAGCTGAGAGGGAGAGCAGCTAACAAAAAAAATGCAAGCTTACTGGAATTGGCTGTCAGATGAAGGACCAAAGGGTAATAAATGCAGCTCTCTAGACTTGGCTCTGCGGTGATCCCAGGATATAGCAGCCTGACCCATCAGTACCAAGTAAGCTGGGTGCAGCACTGAGTAGAGACATCAGACAAAACCAGCACAGCTTCTTTGAAAGAAAGTAATATGGGTATATGTTAAATGCCTATGAGGGGATTAGTTGGTACTGCGAATATGTTTGAATGGAGGCAAGCCCCCTCAGCTTACCTGCGTTATGTAGGTTGGGTTTGTCTTCTTCCACACCATCTCCATAGCTGATTTTCTTCTGTTTGAATTGTCCATGCCCTGCACCTTCCCTCATCTGTTCCCCCAACTCCTTTTTCTGTGTTCCTTTCTTGTCCTGTGATAGCGCTTGATTGAGGAGGAAAACATGCTGGCACCATCTCTGAAGCAGTTTTCCCTGCGGGTGGAGATGCTACCATCATACATTCCTGTGCGGGTTGCTGAGAAAATCCTCTTTGTGGGAGAATCAGTTCAGATGTTTGAGAATCAAAACGTGACCCTGACCAGAAAAGGTAGGACAGCTGCCTGCAGCTTCCCGTGTTGTGTGGAACAGGGGCGCTTGTAGAGCATCGTGCCACGCATCCTGCAGCACGCGGCTCTGTGATTCCAGCTGAGTCTCCCTGCCCTCCGGTGCAAGGGCAGTCGCTTCTAAGCCAGCCTTTGAGCCCACTGGGGACTGTATTGTCCCATCCCAGCCATCACAGTAATCGTCTTTATGAGCGTTATAGCAGCCACGAGGTATTTCTACATCCTCACCTAGGTTTCATCCCATTCAGTCTGCAAGTCTTCATCTTTCCTCCCGCACATCTGCCAGTATTCTAGGAAAAGTGAAGTAGTGTTACACAAATCAAAAGGTTGAGACAGAGCCGTTGCCCAGGTCCAGTCTGGTTAGCGGTGTTCGTGCTGTTCCCAATTTCCTGTGGTCCAGCTGCCTGTTGTCAGGTCCGAGGCAAGCTACTGCGACACCTGCCTCTCCATGACCTGCCACGTGGCTCCATTCAGCCCTTCCCTCAGACCTGCTCCCCAGCCTGGGAGTCCGCTCGGGCACCTGTTTTCAGACGGCAGCATCCTCTGTCTCTGAGCTCCTAGAACCAACTCTTGTCTCATGCCCCTCTCTGTTCTAGCATAGCCCAGGTGCACTCCGTTCGGGCCTTCTGTGCAAAGACACTTAAGTGGTTGCATTTCGTGGCATGAAGCATCAGCCGCACCAAGGCCCTTCTTGTAAGGGTGGGGCCTGCCGTTTAGTTTAGCTGAGCAAAAGAACTCCCGCACCTGAAGTAGGATGGAAATAGGAAATGTTGCTTGCAGAGTGATGGAGGTTGTATCATTGGGACAAGCCACTTCTAGAAGCCCTCTGGAAGCATTTTACTACACACCAGGTTAGGCAGTGCTCTGTGCGAGGAAGGTGGGTACCCAGTGACCGAGATGCAGCTGGAGGGAAGCGTAGCCATCAAACTTCTACTCAGTCCCTTAGGCAAAGGCGCCTGAGTAGCTTGTTGAGGTACCGTGCTCTTCTGTGCTGTTTTACCTGTGTCCCAACGCTCTTCTGTCTGCTGGGCAGGCTCCATCCTGAAGAACCAGGAGGACACTTTTGCTGCAGAGTTGCACCGACTCAAGCAACAGCCACTCTTTAGCCTGGTGGACTTCGAGTCTGTGGTTGATTGGATACGAAGTACCGTTGCTGAGGTAATCTCACTGCAAGGAAACCAAGCAGCCTGTGAGCTACCAGGAGGGGCGAGGCCCAGGTGGGGTGACTGCATTGCTGACTGAACGTGTGCTGTGATACTGCATCGTCCTCTCTAATCCGAGCATTGTATAAATAATGGCCTGCCCTTACCCGTTCGTTTTCATGTTCTAAACGTTTAGTCAAAATAGGTACAGCAAGGAACATTACAGTTCACATCGGAGAGATTTAATTTACATTCAAAGTCTCAGTTTATTATAGAACTTGGGCATTGCACTCAGAGCGATGGGAACAGCAGAGGAGTCAGACATGTCCTCACCATCGGGAGGAGGCCAGGAATAAAAGCCAGGACTTGACTCCATTGTATCCTCTGTAGTCTTCATATGTGGATCTTGACTTATTTTGGAAATCTTGGGAGCAGTTTGCTGCTGGAGGAATGGGGCAGTGTGAATTAAAGGGTTCGTTCATTAGTAACATAGATCATTCTCGGGCAGGTTCCTCCCCTTCGCTGTGCTGGCCTGGTGGTGGGGAACAGCATATTCTGTTCTGGGTACATTCCTGCACTGCACTTGGCATGCTCCGAGTTGCAGCTGAATCTCTGACCAGGTTCAGAGAAGAGTAGTGTTGTGGGAGATGGGCTGGACTGAGCACGTTCTTGTGTCTCCATAGCACCTGTGGAAGCTGATGGTGGAAGAATCGGATTTACTAGGACAGCTGAAGGTAACAACTGTCTGTGCGCACCCATGCATGCTTCTCTTCAAGGGGTCATTTTAACAGTTTTCCCTCGTTTTTGGGGTTTTGCATTTGTCTTCTTCAGGTAAAGCTGTTCCCATTGCTTCTGTCACTGAGATAGGAGCGGCATAGCAAGGACTGACAGAGGCAGGCAGTTTCTCTGTGGGGTACATGGTTTCACAGTCTGCCCTCTAAGGAAGAGGAATGACATTGCTGGCCATCCAGGCAGGATGGATGCTGTCCAGAGCCACAGGCCTCTGCCCAATTCAGGTTCTGCAGCTGCTCCTCAGAGCAGCCCAAGCCACAGTCTGTTGAAGCAGTAACAGAAACAGATGTTTGTACAATTCTTCCTCCTCCTCTTGGAATTTCATATTTAAATATCTGTCTTCACAGATTATTAAAGATTTCTATCTCTTGGGAAGAGGAGAATTGTTTCAGGCCTTCATCGACACTGCACAGCACATGCTAAAAACGCCACCCACTGCTGTAACCGAACACGGTGAGTCCCATGCTCAGTCCTGCCCACTCTGCATGCTGTACTGAGAGGATAGTAAGCCCTGCAAATATGAGATCAATTTTTTTCTTGACCAGCCAGCAAGGAAAACCCCATTTTGTCCCCACTCAAGTGCTATGCCAGTCAGTCTTCCTGCCCTTTACACTGACCAGGTCTAGGTAATGGCTTTAGGGAGCAATCCTTCATTAAGGAAGGGGTGAGATGGATTAAACTGCACCGTAACAAGGTTTTTCCTACCTGGCATTAGTAGCATGGCTGCCTCGCAATTGGGTAAGTTACTTTTTTAAACAGGAGCAAGTCAAACCACTGGAGTGCTGCCCTGGGAGACAGATGGAGGGCTCCCCTTTCCTCCATGTGGGCAGTGGCTTATCCAGCACTGTACTGTCATGAGGCCAGGCTAGGGCCATGCTTTCGTGAGTGCCCAGTATCCTGTGTGGAAGAGCAGGTTCCACTTGCACAGCCCCCAAGAGGGATGGGAGCGGGCTGCCCGTGGGTGGCTGAGGTGCGAGAACAAACTTCTCAGCCCCTGGTCCTGGTAACAGCTCTGAGGTTCGCGTTGGCTGCACCACGACACATGCTGAGGCTCGTGCTCTTTCCTTGCCAGATGTCAACGTTGCATTCCAGCAGTCTGCCCACAAGGTGCTTCTGGATGACGATAACCTCCTCCCCCTGCTTCACCTGACCATCGAGTATCATGGGAAGGAGCACAAAGGTACCGACTTGAGCTTGTTGCCAGGGGGTGGGGGGAGCCATGAGCTGTCCTGCTTCAGTCTCTGCTCCACTCCACAGACCTTTCAGGTTAAGGAGTCTGAGCTTTCTGCGCACCCCACTTTGACTCAGGCACCCTCCCCTGTGCTTCCTGGTCCTGGAGGGGGATGCCCTGCCTCGCTCTGTCCCCTGCTCTGTTGCTTGCTGGAGGATCTCTTCCTCCTCTAAGTGTCTACGCCCAGGTCATAGTTCTGCTGTTCTGTTTCTTTCCAGATCCCTCTCAGGCCCGAGAAGGACCCTCCCGGGAGCTCTCACCCCGCGAGGCCCCCACCTCTGGCTGGGCCGCACTCGGCCTCTCTTACAAAGTACAGTGGCCGCTGCACATTCTCTTCACACCTGCTGTCCTGGAGAAGTGAGTGCCAGCCCCTGCCTGCTTACAGTTAGCATATAGTATCTTGGATACCGGGCACACAGATGCTGTTGTCTACCAGTCAGTGAAAAGTGCAGAACTGCATTACACTCCTTACTTGCAGTATAAGAACGCGTTGCTGGTGTCTGGGTAAGCAGCTGCAAAGTGCTGGTCAGTCTGTGTCCCTCAACCAGCAGTGCTTCTCCTGCAGCAAACCCGGCAGCTCCATCCCTTTCTCCTTTGCAGCACCAGGGCGAACCCCGAGTTAGTGCCCCTGGCCGCAGGAAGCATTTCTGTTCAGAGGCAGGCCGTCACCATGCCCGCTCTGCCTCAGTGTTCAGCCCCCTGCCTGCCCCTTGGTCTCACATCTGCGTTGTTCTGTAGTGGGTGTTTGGGTCCTGAGGAATGTGCATGGCTCAGAAGGTCGGTCTTTGTCTTGGCTGCAGGTATAATGTCGTCTTCAAATACCTGCTGAGCGTCAGGCGGGTGCAGGCCGAGCTGCAGCACTGCTGGGCCCTGCAGATGCAGCGCAAGCACCTGAAGTCCAACAGAACTGATGCCATCAAGTGGCGTCTGCGGGATCACATGGCATTCCTTGTGGACAATCTCCAGTACTATCTGCAGGTCAGGGTACAGGGGATGCTGAGCAGGCACCCAAGTCCTGTGCAGTGAGATGTAGCTTGTTCGCTGGAGCTTTTCCTCCCCGCTAGGTTTTATCTGTAGGATATGGGGTAACAGGGAGGACAAGGGTTAACAAAATACAGAACAGGACCAGCACTTGCTAGATTACATCCTGAACAGGTGCTAAAGAGACTGGTTCTCTGAGGAACCAGTACACGACTAAAGCTTATGGTCTCCTGAACTGGCAGAGCTGTAAGCAAGTGCTTGGTGCTCTTAGGGAGGTGGGAATCCCAGCTTCCAAATGGCACCTCACATTCGTGGCAGCCATGCTGACAGAATCCGTGTGTTCAGGGGCCTTTCCACCTTTCTCCCTCTCCACATCAACTCCATCCTGAATTTAGTGTTTAGTAGCTGAAGAATTGACAGAGTATAAACAAGACCCTGGTCAAAAAATGTCAAAGTAAAGTGTAGAGGTTAGATTATGTCGTTGAATCTTTTGCTGAAAGTTAACAGTATAACAGTTCTCGCTGATATAAGCTGTGACTTTCCACTCAAGCTGTATGTAGGGTGAGAAAATGTTACCTTCTCCCTGTATTATAGCTGTATTTTCTTCACTTGGCTTACTTTGGCAATTACACTGCTTATTTAACAAGGAAAGGACAGTATGAGAGTTGGGGAAAAGAGTAGAAAACGGGAAATTATTAACTTTTTCTTGAAACTCTGGTACGTTGAACTAATTTGCTAATTGACCAGACAGAACCCTCCAATTTCAGTTCTTGTTTATTCACAGTCCTGTTTTTCCAATAGGAAAAAGTGGGTGATCATTTTTTATTCAACAGAATCAAAAGCCTACAAGAACTACAAACAAACTTTAGACTTTTTCTTTGAAAGAAAATTTCCATTTTTAGAAAAACTGTACCAGCAGACTACAAATTCTAACATTTAGACAAGGAAGTATTTGGTAGCTGTGTTGGTCTGAGACAAAAATAAATGCAAAACTCCAGAACTCTTGGTTCAGAGAGAAAACCTTTTATTAGACCAACTAAGATATTGCAAAAAAAGTATAGCTTCTTCTGCAAGCTTTCGTGCCCTTCCTCAGGCTCAGGGAAAATTAAAGATGGTAAAAAGTCCCCATAGGTAGAAAATAAACTTCATTTTTGCGCAGAAGAAGCTGAAGGTGGAAGTCTGTTCCTCTGGGTCCATGAGAGTGTCCTTGTGAGTTGCTCTTTGAGATGCAGCTAAGGCAGGATTCCTTCCCTGGCGGTGTCAGTCAGCAGAAAGGTAGGGAGGTGTAGAAATCTTCTTGTTCAGCAATGAAATTTAAATCCAAAGTCATTTAGACAAGCATTCAGCTGGGGTGAGTCATTCCTAGGGTTTTGCTAACCCTCTGCAAGCAGACTGAATAGATCGGGCAGAGGTGGAATGGCATCTGTCATGCAAGGAGAATCGAATGATGGTAATGAGATTTTTTTTTTTTTTTGATGCACCCGTCAGGTGGATGTGCTGGAATCTCAGTTCTCGCAGCTTCTGCAGCAGATAAATTCTACCCGGGATTTTGAGAGTATCCGGTTGGCTCATGATCACTTCCTCAGTAACCTGTTGGCTCAGTCATTCATTCTGCTGAAACCTGTGAGTTGTTCTTACCTTCTGCAGTGTATCGCAGAGATCATGTGCTCACTCATGAATAGACATGACAGGCCAGGAGCATTTCACTAGGTTCATATTTAATTAACCTAGTGTGACCACCTGAATCACGCAGGCCATTGGAATCCCAGGAATTAACCCGTCTGCATTTTTTCTAGAAAAGCATGTCTGTCAGCATGGCCTGTCTTCCTAGATGTGTGACTTTGTATGCTTGCTGCACTGAAATGCAGATGGTTTCTTTATGCCCAGTTGACCAGGAGACTAAGGGGGCTCTGTATCGGTAACCTGTCCTCTGCATTGTTCACAACATTATTTACAGATTCCTAGGACAGGCATGGGGAGGGACAGATCGGGGCCCCTGCGGTGAGGGGGAAAGTGGGGCTGGGGCAGGGGGAGACGCCACACACCTGAGGTGGGGTGGGGTGGGGCATGGGACAGAGCCAGGGCTTTGTGGGGGAGGGCACTGCTGCATGCACCCCAGGAGAGCATGGGGGGTGCCTCCTGGCTCTGTGCACAGGGTGAGCTGGTGGCTGCGCTGGGCTGGGCTCAGGCCAGGCAGTGGCAGCACTGGGAGGGGGCTACTGCAAATTTTGGGGTGGCTGTAGCCTCCTTCCCAGTACCGCTGCTGCCTGCCCCGAGCACAGCCCTGCTCCACCCTGGCGCTGGCCCCAGCCAGCAGCAGCAGCCCACCCTCACCCCATGCATAGATCTGGAGGGCACACTCCGCCCCCATGCCCTCTTGGGCTGTGTGTAGTGGCAGGAGCCGCTCACAGCTCCGTCCCGTGCCCCGCCCTGCCCTAGTGCCAGCCCCTGCCCCGCTCTCTCCCCCGCTGCAGGGGCCTCGGTCCTTTCCCCCACAACAGACTTACCAGCCTGACGCTGCTCTCTCTGTTGCTGGGCTGCGCTCTTGGCCACCTGCGTGCTGTGGTGCGGCTGCACGCATGCAACATTTATTGGTGACATCATCGGCAACATGAGCCAAAAAAAGCTGACTGCTAATAATGTCAATTTTCCTTATATTGGTGCTGATACGATATGGGACCGATGTATCGGTGCACCTCAGAAATACATAATCTAAACTCTTCATAAAACCACCATCAACACTGACACAGCACAGGACATAACACCTGAATCTGTCATAGATAAAGCGAGGGAACCAGGGCAGCCAATGTTCTGCTTCTATAAAAGGTTTATTAATAAATGCTCAAGAGATCCCAGGCAGGGTGAGCCACAAACCCTCCAGTCCCTGCCAGTCTGACCATAGCGTAAAATGCCTTCCTGACTCCAAATGTGGCGATCGGTTTGACCCGAAGCAGAGGGGCAAGACCCTCTAGCCAGGAACCTTCAGTTTTAAGTCTCAGCAGGCGCACTGGTGCAGCCCCTTTCTCCTCCCCATCCCCAGCCAGCACCCAGTGCTTCTGATGGAGGCTTAAAACCACCCTGGTTAAGTACAGTCAAAAAGCCTGAGGCTGAATCAATTCGATCTTTGCGGGTTAATACAAGATGCAGAGATTAAATTGAACCAGAAGTGAACAGATATTTACCTTCGAGTCAGGTAATGCAGCCACATGCCTGCAGTAGCTCAGGCCACAAGCTGGGGGGCGCCAGAGAGCATGGTTCTCTGGCTGCGTGGTCACTTCCTCTTCCTGCTGCCCCCTCTGGGATTTGTAGTCCAGACTTACAGCAGCAGGACTCTGTTTAAGCCCCCCCCCAAGCTGGAGTTTGCCTGGAGGGGGCAGTCCCCACGCCTTCAGTCTGGGCTGCATCCCCAGCCACACTGCTGCCCTCCCCTCCTTGTCAGCCAGCTCTCACTGCCCCAGCTAGGGAGCAGAGGGGTAGCGCCAGCCCTACTCTCTGGAAGCTGGCAGCCCAGCCCAGCCCAGGGTTGCAAAGTGCTGGGATGCTGGGGGTCTGTGATTTAACTTGAACCAGGAGGGGGTCTGGGACAGAAATTTCATAAACCGGTTTGACCTAAATCAGTTAAGCCTGATACTACATTCAACCAGGTGCATCTTAAACCAGTTTCAGCCATTTTGAAACGGGTTAATGTGCACTGAGCTTCTGTTCTGTTACGGGTTTAAACCAGTTTCTGATTATTTTAACCCGGTTTATGTGTAACTTCTGTCCCTAGCCCCTGAAACATGTAGCAGAAAGTGAGGGGAGGGGGAGCAACGAGCCAAGCCCAGAAGCCTGGGAAATCCCCATAGCCAAACATAAGAATCACTACGCCTAGATTGGGGCGGGCAATTATTTTGGGCAGAGGGCCGCTTACTGAGTTTCGGAAAGCCATCGAGGGCCGCATGACAGGCAGCCCAGGACAGCTCAATATTAATTCTCTACATTTTTTAGGGGCCCTGCAGGCCGGATAGAAAGGCTGGCCCCCGGGCCACATTTTGCCCACCCCTGGCCTAGGTCATCCCTGACCAGTGACTGTCCACAACCTCTTTTTGAACACCTCCAGCGATGGAGAGTCTGCACCTTCCCGGGCGACTGCCTCCCTGCTCTAATGGTGAAGACGTTCTTCCTGAGATCCAGTCTAACCTGCTTTGCTGCAACTTCAGGCCACTGGCTCGTGTCCTACTCTTCACAGCAAGAGAGAAAATATGTTCTCCCTCTTCTTCACAGCAGCCCGTCACGCATTTGAAGTCTGCTGTCATGTTCCCTCAAGTGCCTTTTCTCCAAGCTGAACATGCCTCGCTCCTTCAGCCTCTCCTCATAGGACTGGTTTGCCAAGCCCTTTATCATCATCACCTGCCTCTGGACCCTCTCTAGCTTTGCTACATCTTTTAAAATGTAGAGCCAAGAACTGCACACAATAATCTTCATCCTTGAAAGGCTAGTAAAAGGGTTGTTCAGTAACAGCAAGTGCACCCTGCACCTGTGCAGGGGCTTGGACTAGGTGGTCCTCGAGGTCCCTTCCAGCCCTGGGATTCTGCTCGGGTTCAGGATGTTTTCCCGGACGCACCAGGTGCACTAGCATTTCTTAAGAACAAAATCCAAGGTTTTGAAGCCACAAGGGACCATTACATTTCATTCATTTACCCTGGTATTGAGCCCACCACTTTTTGGCACCTCTTTGATCTGAAGATGCCAAGAGATGGAGAACCTACCACTTCCAGCTGGTGGCTTATTCCACTTGGTTCTGCCTCACTGATAAAAGCTCTCTCTCTAGTCTCGTTTTGCTGATGCATGCCTAGGTTTCGGGTCTCTCTGAGTAGTCTGAATTAGCTCCTTGTTAACTAGGAATTTTCTGCTCTAGCAATCCCTGCTTTTCGTTAAAATGCTGTTAACCCTTTTTTCCATAGCATCAGTCCTTCCTACCTGATTGCACAGGAAGACTTATTTGGCCTCTAAAATTAAAAAGTTAAAGAGATCATGTCAACATGTCACAGACCTATTTAAGTCCCTGCAAGCGCCTAAAAGTGCATTTTTAAAGGCCTGTTGAGTGCCCCGACCTATACTGTTTTTCTCGTCATCAGTGATAGAGTCTTTCACTCACAGGCACTTAGTGCAAAATGATTTCAAACACCTACGGAGGGACATTTAGAAGTTAAGAACTTTCTCAACTTTGTAGCATGAAATTCCTGCTTTTACATCTTATCCAAAGTTCGTTTTTGCAGAGAGGTTTGGGCCACGTTTCGGCCGTCCGTGTTCTTACTCTTCTAAAGAAATGCTTTATGCAGAACATCCCACGTTTCAGAGCCAAGCTGTTATTTCACTTTAATTTCAAAAGAGGATTTCCAAAGAAGCTGCATGTTGCCTGTTCAGAAACAGGCAAGTGGTGAGCAGGGAAATAACATTATAGAGGTGTTAGAAAGAGGGGTAGAAAAATGGCCAGCATGTCAGCGTCCTTCCCCAGTGAGAGTTTCCTGCTGTTTTTAAATGGTCAGGCTAAACAAGACCCACTGTTAGGAAATGGCACTTGTTACACAAATCTAAAACTCCCCCGCTGGCCCTGCCTGCCTTCTCACAGGTTTTCCACTGCTTAAACGAAATCCTGGATCTGTGTCACAGTTTCTGTTCCCTCGTCAGTCAGAACTTGGGCCCGCTGGACGAACGCGGAGCTGCCCAGCTGAGCATCCTGGTAAAGGTGAGTTGGGCCACGTGACCCCCTCCTCCTCTCCGCACAGGCACTTGCAAGGAGCCGGGTGGGGTGACAGTCCTGCCTGCTTAAAGCAGGGACAGTGTGTTATATATCCTGTGATTTTTAAACTGATGTAATAAAATTAGTGCATGGAGGTGAATAATTCATTTGTCTAGCCACAGCAGGGTTGGACTCTGTTCAAGCTAAACTGGAACAAGAGCATGTAGACTGGCTTGATCAAGTAGAAGCAAACCAACAAGTGGGTGCAGTGCATGCAAAAAAAAGGCCTCAAAAAAGCAGCAGCTACATCCTGCTGTTTGCTCTCTGCAGAGCTGAAGGGTGCGGCACTTTCTGGCTGCAACATGGGGAAGTGCCTGCAAGGAAGCTAATAAAACTCACTGAAGACTCTCAGTTAGCACTGAAGGTCCTGGATTTGGGAAGACTGGCTGACTCTCTCTCCTAATTGTGTTCTGTTTCACTGCAATGGTATGAGCTGGCTTACCTGCACAGTGACGCTACTACCAGGAGCTGTTGGCTTCTGGAAGGAAGCTTTTCTTTGGGTTGTGAATCATCCTGTTGTCAGGGATGGGGCAGGAAGCTGCTGTGGTTTCAGCTCTCTGACGCTGGTCTTCTCTCACCCGCAGGGCTTCAGCCGCCAGTCCTCGCTCCTCTTTAAGATTCTCTCCAGTGTCCGCAACCACCAGATCAACTCTGACCTGGCCCAGCTGCTGCTCCGCCTCGACTACAACAAGTACTACACCCAGGCAGGGGGCACCCTGGGCAGGTAGGACAGGCTGGGCACTGGGTTTGCTGACACCAGCACCCAGAGGTGTTTGAGACATAGATTCATAGAGTAGGGTCAGAAGGGACCTAAGTAGATCATCAAGTCCAACCCACTGTCCTGGGCAGGAGAGAATACAGGGCTCATATGACCCCTGCTAGGTAATTATCTAGCCTGCTCTTAAAGACCCCCAGGGTAGGAGCTAGCACCACTTCCCTTGGACGTTGGTTCCAGACCCTGGCCGCCCTGACTGTGAAGTCGCGCCTCCTGATGTCTAGTCTGAACTTACTCTCTTACAACTTGTGGTCATTACTCCTGGTAGTGCTGGGGGGAACAGGGTCTCTCCCATTCCCCTTTGGTCCCCCCTGGTAAGTTTATAGACCAGATCCCCTCTCAGCCTTCTCTTGCGGAGGCCGAACAGGTTCAGGCCTCTCCTCGTAGGGCCTGCCCTGCTGCCCCTGACCATGCGGGTGGCCTCCTCTGGACCCTCTCCATTCTGTCCACATCCCTTTTGAAGTGCAGTGCCCAGACCTGGACACAGTACTCCAGCTGTGGCCTGACCAGCGTCACATAGAGGGGGAGGATCACCTCCTTGGACCTGCTCATGATGCATCTGTGGATGCACAACAAGGTGTGGTTGGTCTTCCTGACCGCGTCCCCACATTGGTGGCCCAGGTTCATTTTGGCATCAATAATGACTCCAAGATCCTTTTCCACCTCTGCACTGATGAGAAGGGAGTTCCCCAGCCTGTAGGGCTGC